GATTCTAACCAACACTCCAATTGAAGCAACAGAATAAGGAAACCAGGTGCTCTCAGATCCATCCCCTTCCCTCAGTGAGAGTAGCAACAGTACAGATGGTTAACCCTCTCCCTTCAGAACATGGTCGAAGGACACCAGAAAGCAATGGTGATCTGAACAGTCTGAAGTGGAACTGTCACCACTTTTCTATATCCTCTCTCTGTTTTGGAAGACTTTCTAGAAACCTCTCCAGGAGTCACAATTAAGCTTCCCACAACCAATAAACGGTTTAGAGATTCCACCCTACACACATGCACCCACACCCACTCAACTACTGCCAATTGTCCCAAGTTTATGATAGTGAGAGATCTGATCTAAATTCTCCAATCCAGACACCTAGGAACAGCAGCAGGTAGAAAACTCAGACAGAAGTGAGATTAAGATAGTAAAGGACTTTTAAAAATGGTTTGCAGTTCTCTTTCTTCTCCCTTCTCCCATGTTTAATTATGTGCCCTTGCAAAGTTAAGTGGATTTGTTCTATGGAACGTACTTTGACACAGAGTATACATTCTATTGGCACACTTATGCCTTGAAAACACACATAAAATGAATGTGAAAGGAATGAAGCATAAAATAGTATGCTTCAGTTCAGGCTGGACATGAATCATCATCTCCAAATCCATAACCTCCAAAAGCTCAAATGTCCTGTTATCATATTTATTTACTGCCTAATATCTCCCTCTGTCTCAGAGAAAAGAAAAAGGAGGGGGGACAGAGACATGACTTTATTAGTTCCATCCAGAGAATAGGAAACTTCACACCATGTCCCCAAAGAGGGCAGATGATATACCCTGACACTAGCCTGTCATTTTAAGGACTGAAGTTACATTTTCCCCCACACCTTATTTGGAATACTGCTGTTGAGCACAACAACAAAATCCACCTTGTAAATCACATCTCAGGCTACCAGAAAAAAAATATAAATTTCAAAACTTCTGGAAAGGGGACAAGCAACCAAAAAATCCCTTAGGTTAGGCATTTGAAAAGTATCCTCCAAAAACTGGTACATGCATTTGGAAGCATGATGTCTACATCCATTTAAATAACCAAAGCAATATATTCAAATCCGTGCAGGTAAATGCACTTACACTAAGATATACCAAGGGATAAAACAGACAAAGAAACATCAGTTGTATTTTATAAGTGATGTAGATCAAGTATATCAAGTAAAACATGATCATAAATGGCTTCATTTTAGACTTGTTACCCGCTTCTTCCCCAGAGCCACAAGGAAATGTTCATTATCTACAATGAGAGCACGGAAATTGCTTTGCCCATGTTAATACTGCTATAAGGATTACAAAAACAAGTCAATGAGGACTTACGGCATCTGTAAGAGCCGGGAGACTGTTGGCATGCCATTCTTCATGGCTTCACATGACAGTATGGATTCCAACACAGACACTTAAAGAACGAAGAGAAAAAGATTGCACATTTTTATACTGCTTGAACACATCAGCAAACCATTTTCCCCCTCAATTTAGGGATTATCAACTACTGCAGTGATGAATCCAGGGGATGTACACATACTTCAAGTGTGTTTAATATTAAAGTTTGACCTTTGCAGATGTAATTTTTAATCAGATGACTAATGACTGTGCAGTTACTCAGGTAAGGACTGATAAATATGATTTACTCTTTTTTTTTTTTTTTTTTTTTT